ACAGCGGTGCAGCTCTTCGTGTCCAACGACAAGGTCAACGTAGCTGGTATGGTGCTAGCGGGCTCTGCCGACTTCAAGACCGAGCTCAGTCAGTCGGACATGTTTGACCCGGTAAGTGCCAGAAAGACAGTTGGAGTTGGACAGTTGAACTGTTGGTTATGGGCTAATCTGAACAGATCTCAAACTAGGCTTTATTTTCTGGTCATGTCTTTCAGAGGTTACAAGCAAAGGTCCTAAAGTTGGTTGACATCTCGTACGGTGGAGAAAATGGTTTCAACCAAGCCATCGAGCTGTCAGCTGAAGTATTGTCTAATGTGAAGTTCATCCAAGAGAAGAAGCTCATAGGTATGTGTGTGCGCTAGTCTATACCACTCTTCTCTCCTTAAGTTGGTGGGCTTGAATCCCCCCACCTGAAGTTCAGTTGTAATACTGGTATTCTGAATTCAGAAAGCTAACCTGTTCTGGACTCTTCCTCTGACCCTGCAGGGCGTTACTTTGATGAGATCAGTCAGGACACGGGAAAGTACTGCTTTGGTGTGGAGGACACGCTCAAAGCCCTGGAAATGGGTGCAGTGGAAATCCTCATAGTCTACGAGAACCTGGACACCATGCGCTATGTCTTGCGTTGCCATGGCACTGAAGGAAGCACGCCTGAGAATGGTACAGGCACCCACACGTGTGCATATGTGCCTGAAAACACGCCCGTGATATTTGTGCTTTACTTATCTGGTCACATGCAGATGTCCTTTGGTTCAGAGGCTATACCTATTTCCTTTTATTGGAGTTGTTTCCAAAAATATTGGTAGTCACCATTCATGTGTCTTTTTTATGGTATTTAGATTATATTACATTGAACTTTGTCATTGTACAGGTACATTGACATTCAGTTTAGCATGCAAGTGCAATAGAAAGGTACAATAAGGCAGTGTGCAAAATAATGTATATAATATAAAATATGGAATTTGAATTTACAGGTGGTATTTACAAGAAATTTTCCCATAAGAAATGAGTCAGCCATTCCTTCCACTATACCTGAATTAATCTCCCACAAAGTATCTCCTAACCTTCCAATACTTTAGTTTTATAAAACACTGAACATTTGTCACCTAACTTTAAACGGTTAAATACAAACATATTACACCATTATGTTCACAAGCATTCATTCACACTTGAAAACAAAATACATGAGTGATAGTGTGTGTAGTCAGGTGACATCTACCATGGCGTGTTTAGATAGAATCTCAAATGCCTGGGGCGTAGGTGTATTTGAAAATGATAGACAATTAACAACTCCTGATTGATTAAAAGAACAGTGAATGTGATTGGTGTGACTGTCCTCTGGTCTCCATATGACACCACATTTCCTGTTTCTCAGATGAAAAGACTCTGTATTTGACACCAGAGCAGGAGAAAGACAAGTCTCACTTTACAGACAAAGAGGTGAGCATGTCTGCAATCTCCACATGGAATGTTAAAAGTGCTTTGTCAGTTCTGCACCTGGACCCGGTAGCCAAAGGTGCTTGTGGGTACGGCAGCCCTGAGTGTTCCCAAGCAGATTGCTTGCCAGTGCTTAAGTGTGAAATCCATGGGCGTCCAAATGGCACTGCTCATTAAGTTCCTGTGTTTGCAGACAGGCCAGGAGCACGAGCTGATCGAGAGCATGCCATTGCTAGAATGGTTTGCCAACAACTATAAGAAGTTTGGTGCCACACTGGAGATCGTCACAGACAAGAGCCAGGAGGGGTCGCAGTTCGTTAAAGGCTTTGGCGGCATTGGTGGTGAGTGTCACCAATGGCTGACCACCTGCTGGTGATGCCTTCAGAGCCTCTTCCAATCAAAACATCCAACGCTATGCCCTGCCCCCTTCCACAACCTAGATTGATTACCCGCCTCTCTCTTTGTTCCCTGCAGGTATCTTGCGATACAGGGTGGATTTCCAGGGCATGGAGTACCAGGGAGATGATGACGAGTTCTTTGATTTGGATGACTACTAGGTAGTCAAGACTGGCTTTGAGGGGAGGGGCTTGCACTCCCGTCTTCCCCTGAGAATGAGTGAGGAAAATCACAGGAGGGAGTGACAATGAGAATTCCAAATATGGGAAAGCATACATGTGTATCCCTGCCTTAGAATGGAGTGATCCCATCTTCTGGTTGGATATAACTTGCCTAGATCTTCTCTCCACACTGTACATTTATGCGTCGACTTAGCAGTGACAGGCCACACCTCCTACACTCTGCCCTGCTCCGCCCACAGTGCTTTGGACTCTTATATAAATTATCCTCCATCTACCCTGCTTTTTTAAACTGGCATCTGCTGTATTTTATTTTTTAACTTGGGTTCCTGTAGAAAGCAGGCAATGTATTAAATTTGAACTGCTTAACAAAACTAGTCCACGCTCTGGTCCAGCTTCCCATTTCATCCTCTGTCCTGTTGCACCGCTGCTTGGTTTATCCTCTCCATGGTCCTGCAGTCTGATTTAGTAACAGGGTGGGTGTGAGCTGAGTGCAGGCCAGCCGCCAACCTGTTGCCATGGTCGCTTCTCATTCTGATTGAGAGATGCACTCTGGATTGGGTGGAGGGCTGAGCATCATGCTCAAGCTATTGGTTTAGTGGTTGTGCTCTTGCTTTACATTAAGTTCCATTGCTCGCCCTGTCATGTATGGCTTATGATAAATGGTATTTTGGTAATCAGACTGCAGTAACTTGTCTCACTGTGCAATATGTAGATGTAGCCATGGATGACTACATGCCTGGGGGGAGCAAGGGCTATAATCAATGAATCAGTGATGTGGGCAGTTTTATGGGGCCTGACTGAATATCACTTGGCTTGAGATGGTAGATACCCAAGCTGAAGACCTAGACTGTCTACCTTATGCTGCGAGCCGTGGAACGTTAACTAATTCATGTAGCCCTGTACTTTAAGTACAGTGGTAGTGTGGGTGATTTTTATAATTGATGTAGTTGCATTGAAGGAGGGGGGTGGTCAACTGTTCCACTGTTGTTCACCCAGCTTAAGATAATGTGAAACATCCCATATTGACTATTTTCTACACGTTCTCATACATGTCAGGATCGTAATACAATGCAGATATGATGTTTTGGCCTGTTCAACCACTCTGCTCAGGAAGCTCTTAAGCCTAAGGAAGCAGAATAGAACACAAATGGGACCGGGTATGGCAGGTCCAGTAACCCGACCATCAGGTGTTTCTCCTGCTTTATAAAGGAACATAGGGTGGGCTGACCAGCATACATGCAGGAAGGGCATCCCACAGTCCTGGCCTACATGTGGTTGGAGTGAGAACTGGGCAGAACTTACTTATACACTTTTTAAACATTTGTGGTTTGTCTTAAGTCTCATAGGAAGTGATTTGTAATCCATGGGTTTCTGTCGTCAGGGGTAGGGGAAAGGTGGAGGTTTAACCAATTTTGTACTGTGAGATGATTGGTCCACAGTGCCCACTGGGTAATGTTTGTTCAACTTTTTGTACCAGTGATGAGGGTGTGGGAATTCGCCATTACCCCATCCCCCAACAACTAGTTGTCCCGTCACTAGTTGACTTGAAGACATTTGCCCTGGCTCCTGTTTAAGAATATTTTCAGCATGGTGGCCAGTGAAGCAAATATCTGAAAACATCCCTTAGGTTAGCCAGGGTGTGTGGTATGGTTTAGACTTGGTCTTCATTTTGGAGGACATCTCCTTAATGGTCTTCAGAGTGTAATGATGGTATTGAACTGCAGTGCAAGTCCTCTGTCTACATTCTCATATTTCTTTTGTCCCCCTGCAATATCTGTTGCTTTTCTTTTTCAGTTGTCACTATTTTGTATAAATTTTAACAGGCCTCACTTATTAAATGTTCTCATTGTTTGCAAAATGGTTGAGAGTTCATTTATGATTTATTCTGCATGCTTGTCAGTGTGGTCTTGTGTGAATGATGTATGTCCATACATAGAACTTCATTGTTCAGTAATTATGCAGCACTATCTGAACCATTTTGATTTTGTTTCATACAAGCCTTACGTGGTTTGCACATTGACAGAAGACGATAAGCAGAGGTTTTGTATTGTTAAACCAGTAGCTTTACAGTTACTGTCTTTGAGAGCAACAGTGTTTCTTGGTAAGTTTTGGAGCAATATTTTCGTCAAATCTGTTTTCCTGGAGGGTGGCACAGTTCCTCCATGGAGAGTATGACTCGAGTCTCTCTACTGGCTCTGTGTGTGTAATTTGCTTGATCTCCATGTGGAGTTTCCTTCAGGGTCTCCAGTTCCCCCTCCAGTTCAAAAAAGTGAATTGGGCTTGCTTGATTATCTAGGTGTGAATGGTGTGTGTTCCCTGGGACGGGTTGGTGCCCTGTCCTGGGTTATTCCCTACCTTGTGCCTGCTACTTATACGATGGCTCTAACTTCCCCTTGACCTTGTATAGGATAAGCAGGTATGGAAAATGAATGAGTGAGTTTGCCAGAATCACATTGCAGTGGAAACCTAATGTGGGCCAATTCCTGGTTAAACCATGAGATAATGGTCTAGATTAAAATTGAATCCTGCAGCAGTGTGATTCTTGATTTGAGGGCTTAAGACCATGTGCTGGAGCATAAGATGGCATTAATATGCCAGTGACAAGTCCAAAACCATTGTTAGGGTTAATTGCCTTAGTCTTCAGTTCTGGCAGCGACACGGTTCAACCCTTATAAAGCATAAATATCAGAATATGCTGATAACTGTGCATTTCTTCGCTCATGCATTATCTTGATATTTCATGAGTCGAAACGCTCCTGCGGTTGGTTTGTCTACAGCGGTTCATGAGCCGAACGCTGAAGACGTGACAACTGTAGACCGGCGGTCTCAGGGAAGCAGCTTCAGTCGGACAATTGGGACTCGCCGCTGTCCTCGCCATAGCAGCAGAACAGCCAATCAAGCAAGAGAATCGCCTTACTGACAACGCCTTCTGTCAGTTGTAGACCAATTAAACGCGCCGTTCCACTCCCTGCTCCGCCCCTTCCAAATGCGCGACGAAGGGCTGGGTTTCCATTTTCGCTTCGGGTTTCGGGGAAACGTCAATATGGAGCCGGAGATGGAGGACAAAACCTTGGAGCTGATGGTAAGTTCCGATGAAACTCTCCCGTATCACTGGAGGGAAATGTCTAAAGGAACGTAATGATAAACAACGGCAGCAGGGACGTTCGAAACGACCCCTGTTATACGGAGTCTGTTCTTTCTGTGGAGGCGTAGGTCGGGTCTGCCTGGTCGAGGCGACCGGTTCCCGATTCCCAATTCCTGGTTCCCTTTTTGGGTGTCGTCTAAATGCGAAGCACAGCTGCTCCGGTTCCGGGTTAATATATACTGCGGCGCCGCTGCGCTAGTCGGCGGGGCCGGCGAGTGCCAGGGCGTCCGGGAGCGCCCCCCACACGCCCCCGAAACGGAGCCGAATAATTACCGGCCATCCGGTCTCTCCCCCGTTCGCCCTGTTCCGTACAAAATGTACGACCAGAAAGGATATCTGTGTGATTACACATACATAAAATATAAAATAAAAATATAATATATCGTCTCGCTCTGACCACCGCACACTGACGTACTTGTATACATCTGTACATCGAGTGCGTTTGCTGGGGCTGTGGCTGAATATTAGTCGTCTTCAAAGGTAGCCAGTTCATACTTATGGGGGGGGGGGAAACTGCCCTCTAAAATATTTTTCAAATACATTCAGTATTATTGTTATTGTGCTATTTATGGTTTTGCTGTGATTTTGAAAGATGAATCACCTTGTTCATGCTTCACCTATCGATTGTTTTGGAAGCTAAGCTTCTGATTTATCCGGAATATTTTACTTGTTTTGTAGAAAAGCTGTTTGATATTAAACAAACGTAAATATAGCAAGCTAACTGTTTTGTTGGTGAGTGGTTCGGTGCATTTCTCCGTGGCCTCATGCTTTCGGGATTGGGCTTTGAATACGGCCCCAGCCCCGTCAGTGTCCGTGGGATTTGCGTGTTCCTCTCGCAGTCTTATTACATGCAGTAAAATAAGCACATCTTCCCTCTCGACAGTCTGTGCAGTCATGTTGTAATCGTTAAGTGCGTGATTATGTGTAGGTCATCCTGTGGCCTGAGATGGACTAACATACCGTTGCCCCCCCCTCCCCGCTTCAGACATACCATGACCCTGTACTGCATGAAAGGAATCGAAGACGGAAGGATGGATCTTCCTCTTTCTTTAATAATGCATTGTATCTGTAATTGTAAGTTATTGGCTGTATTCAAAACAGACTCTGAAGTCATTCTGCGTTGACTTCATCGTAATCAGGCCCGGAGAGAATCGATTGTGGGTTCCTACTTTTAAAAACACCTTAAGCGATCAGCAACCTTTTCCCATAATATCACCTTGACATGTTTTAATAATCGAGTCTTCTTTTTAGATGTGTTTCTTTCCTCTGCCTCAGTCACATTTACCTCTTAGGAGGTTTGAACATTCAGTCCTTTTCGCCCACATAATACCACCTATTATCAGACAATTATAGTAAGTGTTTGAATCATGGTTTACGCCGCCCCTTAAGTCCGGAATAGTGGCCTCTCTGCTTGGCATTATTGACCATATTTTTGCACACCTGTTTATGCTGGTGTTATATATTCATGCTAATCTCTGTGTCCTGTGCTGCATGGCCACATGGCAGCCTGGGTGGTTTTTTCACAGGTTTTGCATTGTCAGATTTCTTGTGTAAATACAGTTCCCTCCATAATGTTTGGGACAAAGACACGTTTTTCCGTGATTTTCCCCTCAGCTCCGCAGTTTAAAATTTCAAATCTAACATTCAGACGTGATTAAAGTGCACATTCCAGACTTTAAGTTATTTGCATACATTTCAGTTTCACCATGTAGAAATTACAACACCCCCTCATTTCAGGGCGCCATAACATTTGGGACATTTGGCTTCATAGGTGTCTGTGATTACTCAGGTGTGTTTCATTGATTCATTAGTGCAGGGATAAGATACCTAGGTTTGCTCGTACCATTTGGAATCTGTAGTTGTCATTGTTCAACATGAGGAGAAGAGCTGCGCCAATGAAAGTCAAAGAAGCTCTTATGAGGCTGAAAAACAAGAATAAAACCATTAGAGACGTGTGTCAAACCTTAGGGTTACAAAATTAACTGTCTGGAATATCGTTAAGAAGAAAGAACAGGTGAGCTCAGTAATCACAAAGGGACTGGTGGGCCAAGGAAGACCTCCACTGCTAATGGCAGAAGAATCCTCACTAGGAGAAAGAAAAATCGGCAAACGTCTGTGCAGCAGATGAGACGCAGGAGGCAGGTGTGTCTCTGTCAGAGACGGCCGTCCGCAGGAGGCTTCATGAACAGAATTACAGGGGCTACACTACAAGATGCAAACCACTAGTTAACCTCAAAAACAGGATGGCCAGATTACAGTTTGTGAAAAAGTACTTAAAAGAGTCTGCAGAATTTTGAGAAATGGTCTCATTGACAGATGAGACCAAGATTAACCAGCAAAAGAGTGATGGCAACAGGGAAGTGTGGAGATGAAAAGGAACTGCCCAAGGCCCAAAGCATAGCAGCTCATCTGTTAAACATGGTGGTGGGGGGTTATGGCTTGGCCTGTATCGCTGCCACAGGTGCACATTCCAGACTTTAAGTTATTTGCATACATTTCGGTTTCACCATGTAGAAATTACATGGACACTTACCTTCACTGATGATGTAAGATGACGACAGTCACACGATGAAGTAGAAACATCTTATCTGCTCAAGTTCCACTAAATGGCTCCAAACTCATTGGACGACGCTTCTCCCTGCAACAAGATAATGATCCCAAACCTACTGCTAAGGCAAGACAGGAGTTTTTTAAAGCTAAAAAATGAAAAGTTCTTGAATGGCCAAGCTAGTCTTTGCATACAAGGGATATGAAACAAAGTATTAAACATGACTGCTTTAATATACCTACCATTGTTATGTCCCAGACGTTATGGCGCCCTGATATGAGGGAGTACTATGGATAAAAAGTGTGGTAGTTTCTACATGGTGAAATCGAAATGTATGCAAATAATTTAAATGTCTGAAATGTGGACTTTAATCACATCTGAATTGTTTGAATTTTAAACTGTGATGCAGAGAGGTAAATCAATGAAAAATGTCTCTTTGTCACAAACATTATGGAGGGCACTGTATATATCGAGAGCAAAAGTTTTAGTCTGGGTCACCTGCATATTTCTGCTCTTGGCTATGAGCTGGGAGCCCGGGTTTGAGTTCCGTGTGCTGGCTTTTTCAAAAGTTGAAAATCTGCCTCTTATGATAGAAATGATTTTTTTAAGCTACCCCCCACTAACACCACACACACAGAAATACTCTTGTCCAGAGTGGTGGCTCCTGGTTATTTTCAGAGGAGGGGCGGGGGGGCATCTGAAGAGGACAAATTAAGCCTGGCATGAGCTTCTTTCTATTAAATGTACAAAAAATACACAATAATTATGGGCATGATTTGTGTGTTTTCATGCAATTCTGTGAACTACCAAAATCATATTTGTATCACATACATATGTTGGGAAAAACCTTATACTGCATTTAATGATCAACATCACTAAGAATCAATGAGAATGGACAGTGCATCTGGGGGTCCCATCTATTTTTTGGGGGGGGGGCTGGATGTTGCCCCCCCGTTGACTCTACCACTTTACTTTTAATTTTTAATTGCTTGAAAATGGTGATTTGGAGGGTCCCCACCTGGGTGTTGCACTTGATCCTCTTATTTCAGAGACTCCCCTTCAGCAGCAAACCAGGAGATTTGTGGGAATGTAAAGCTTGGATTTAAACTGCAGTGATTACCTAGCTGATGGGAACCCCCCCCCCCACCTTTCACCATCAGCTTCCATACACGGCCCACTTCTAACCAAAAATATCATCATAGCTGTTGCCCATTTTGCCATTTTTAGATCTGATATATGTCTGTGTCTGTCTTGGCGCATACCCTGTCGCTGTGTCTTTAGTGGTGTCACGCACTTTGCCACACTTCCCGCGTCATCCACTGTCTGTTACAGATCACACAGCATCCTCAATGCATCTGCCACAGTATCAGCATACTGCTCATGTGCAAGATCTCCGAGGCTATAGAATGGGTGTAGCAAGCAGGGGCAGAGACTGTATCAGATTGTCATAGGTGCTTCTTCACCCATTTTTTTCCCTCAGCCCTCCTGAAAAATATTTTTTTTAAGACTTTTTACCAATGTCCCGTGTTTTTGTAAACATAATGTTGTCCCCCCCCATTTCTTCAGGGGTCTGAGTCCTTAAGGTCAATTCCTAGAATCACCCCAGGTTTAAGGCTATCACAGATATCTGAAACTTATCAGATGAATGTGGTGTTTTGGTCAGAACATCAGCCATTAAATTTAAAACATGAACTATGTTTCTGTGTGTATGAGAGACAGTGCTGGCAGGAAACTGGAATCTCCTGTAATAAGTGACTGATCTTTACTGCACAGGGACATGGCAGTGATATGTAGTGAGAAGTCCCTTAAAGAAAAGTCAAGCTTGTACAGACCTTATATGTAACCTCATACAGAGCCCTGCGGTCCCTCCTCCAGCAGCTGTATGTGGTCAGGGAGGAGTTTAGGGAAGAAATGGCCACACGGAAGAGAAAGTGTCTTTTGCTTATGAATCATTATGACGGTTTGTCTCTGCCTACATGTGTGCGTAGTTACTGTTATGGGGGTGCGG